ACAAATCTTGGATCAACCCTGCCATCTAAATCATTTAATAATTTATGAATCTTACAAACATGTGTTGAGCACACACTATGCAAAGCACTGGGTTAGACACTAGATCTAGGGATTCAAAGGACTCAGTGTGTGCCTTGAAGCAACTGAAGGTCTGGTGGGGGAGGCAGACAAACAACTAAAACCCAGTGTGGTTAGCTAGGCTGCCATGGACATGAGCCAGGGCACATGCTAGGATGGGACCCAAGCTGTGGCATCCAGGAAGGGGCGAATGTGTAATGAAAAGAAGACTTGACTTTTTGTTAAGGAGCTTTATTGAGATTTAGTTCATGTTCCCTACATTTCACTCATTTGAAATGTATAAGCAAATGGTTCTTGGCTTCTTAACATAATTTTTTAAATTATGATAAAATATAAAATTTGCCATTTTACTCACTTTTAAGTGTACAGTTGAGGGGCATTAATTACATTCACAATATTGTGCAGCCCTCAACACTATTTCCAGATCCTTTTCCTCACTCCAAACAGAAACACCTTAACCTTTAAGCAACAATTTCCTAGCCGCCCTAACCCAAACCCCTGGTGACCTCTAATCTGCTTTGTGTCTCTAGGAATTTACCCATTCAAGGTATCTTATAAGTAGAAACATACAGTATTTTTCCTTTTGTGTCTGATTTGTTTCTCTTAGCACAATGTCTTTAAGGCTTGTTCATGTTGTAGCATGTAACAGAACTTCATTTCTTTTCATGGCTGAGTCATATTCCATTGTGTGTATACACCGTATTTTGTTTAGTCCTTCATCTGCTGAAGAACATTTGGATTGTTTCTACTTTTTGAATGTTGTGAATAATGCTACAGTGAACATTGGCATCTACATATCTGTTCAAGTCTATGCCTTCAATTCCTTTGGGTATTTACCTCGGAATGGAATTGCTGAGCCATGTGGTCATTCTGTGTTTAGCTTTTAGGAACTATCAGACTGTTTTCCTTAGTGGCTGCACCATTTTACATTCTCATCAGCAACATACAAAGGTTCCAGTTTTTCCCTGTCCTTACAACACTTAATTTCCTTCTTTAAAAAGCTTATTTTTATTATAGCTGTCCTCTTAGGTGTGAAGTGGTATCATGGTTTAGGACTTTACTTCTTGTGCTGATTTTTTTGAAAATTATGATTAAAAACACATAACAAAGTTTATTATTTTAACAATTTTAAAATATATAGTACAGTAGTGTTAACTGTTTGTGGCTTGTTGTGCAACAGATCTCTAGAACTTTTCTACCTTGCAAAACTTAAACTCATTAAACAACAGCTCCCAATTTCCCCTTCACCCCAGCACTGTGTAACCTACTTTCTCTACTAGAAGTTTGACTACATTAAATACCCCATATAAGTGAAATCGTGTGGTATTTCTGTTTCTGTGACTGGCTTACTTCATGTAACATAATTTCCTCAAGATTCATCCATGTGATAGCATGTGACAGGATTTTTTTTTTCATTTTTAAGCCTGAATAATATTTCACTGGGTATATATATATATACATATATATATATATATACATCACATTTCCTTTATTCATCTGTTGATGGACATTTAGTTGTTTCGATATCATGGCTATTGTGAATAGTGCTGCAGTGAACACAGTTATGCAAATATCTCTTCCTGATACTGTTTTCAGTTCTTTTTGACATATACTCAGAAGCGGAATTTCTAGGTCAGATGGTAATTCTATTTTTAAGTTTTTGAGGAACCTCCTTGTCATTTTTCATGGTGAATATACTATCTTTTTTTTAACATTCCTATCAACGTACACCAAGATTCCAATTTCTCCACATCCTCCCCAACACTGTTGAATGGGGTAGTGAAGTCTCCTACTATTACTGTGTTGCTGTTTTTTCTCCCTTCAATTCTATTAATGTTTGCTTTATATATTTAGGAGCTTAATATTAGGGCCACATATAGTTATAATTGTTATGTCTTACTGGTACAGTGACCTTTTTATCATTATATAATATCTATCTTTGTCTCTTGTGACACTGTGTGTCTTAAAATCCATTTTTTCGGATATAAGTGTGACCACCGCTGTTCTCTTTGGGTTCCTGTTTTTATGGAATATCTTTTTCCATCCTTTCACTTTCAGCTTATGTGTGTCCTTAGATCTAAAGTGAGTCTCATAGACAAGGTATAATGGATTCTGTGTGTGTTATTCACTCAGCAAGTTATATTTTTTAATTGGAGGATTTAATCCATTTACATTTAAAGCAATTACTGACAAGGAAGGGGTTACTCTTGTCATTTGGCTAGCCTTTTAGTTTTGTCCTGTGGCTTTTCTGTCTTTCTTTTTCTTCCTGGA